TTGAGTTTTTGTCAGGAAGTAAGGGTCTCTACTTCCATCCGTCTGATATAACGTTGAATTGCAAATGTGTGATTTTAAAATCAAACAGATAGTTTACCCAAGTAACTTTCAGAAATTATGTACACACAAGTTTGATTTAGTACGAACTCGATTTTTGAATAAAAATCTGGAAACAAAGCATTATTCACAACAAAATTGCATAAGACTTGCAGACTCGGTATGATTGAGTCTGTACATAAGGGATAATGAATAAGTGCAACATCCCTCACGCCCCCTAGCACCGGCTTGAGTGGTACTCAATTATCAACACTTACTAGTGATGGGTATCAATGATCCCGAAGTACCAGAAAAATGTATCAACACTGAAGTGAAGTACGGGGCAACATTTTACAGCTGCCACACAGCACTTAACACCTGCTGTTGTGAAGTATACAAATCTGGAAACAAAGTGAACCCTCGGAAGCATTAATCACATCATAATAACATAAGAATTGCAGACTCGGTATGATTGAGTCTGTACATGAAGGAAAATGAATAAGTGCAACATCCCTCACACCCTCTAGCACCGGCTTGAGCGGTCCTCAATTCTCAACACTTAATAGTGCTGGCATCAATGATCCCGAAGGACCAGAACAATAAAACAACACTGAAGTGAAGTATGGGGCAACCTGTTACAGCTGCCACACAGCACTTGACACCTACTGTTGTGAAGTATAAAAATCTGGAAACAAAGTGATCCCTCGGAAGCGTTAATCACAACAAAATAACATAAGACTTGCATACTCGGTATGATTGAGTATTTACATGAGGGATAATGAATAAGTGCAACATTCCTCACGCCCCCTAGCACCGGCTTGAGCGGTACTCAACGTGTACTAAATATTTATTTTCTAATACGAGGGGTGTTCAAATATTGTTGCTACTGGGTCAATTTTCAGAAGTGCTTAACGAACAGTGCCAAATTAATTATCCCAGTCTTTCAAAATACACTTCACCATGTGATAAACGAAGTTTTAGTCTTTCTATCCAATTTTTAAATACGTTTTCATAATCTTTTTGAGGTATACTGTTCAGACACTGGAAATAGCCGAACCAAGATTTTTTCGCGTTAGATATTTTCTTCCAGCAAGGTGTATTTTCATTCAGTTTCGGAAATAGGTAAATGTCACAAGGGGCAAGATCTTGCGAAAATAGAGACAACCTTTCCTCTTTCTGATATTCTTGTACAATGGCCGCTTTGTGGAACGAAGCATTGTCATGCAACAACACGACAGCCCGGAGACCATTTGCTGGTCGACGGTTTTTTAAATATTTCTTTAATTCATGAAGGACATTGCCTTTGTTAAACATTGTATTTACAGATTTACCCCTTTGGTACAACAATTTGAATAGCTGGACCTTGATTTGTAAAGAAAATTACAAAAATGACCTTTCTAACGGTAATGTAGCGTTTTGCTATGCAAGGTCCTTTGGTTGCCCATATTTTGTTATTTATCTTTCGCTTGGGCTCATAAAAGTGAACGCATGTCTCATCGCCAGTGATGATATTTGCGAAAGAACGATTGCTGTATTTAGGGAACTGTTTCAACAACTGTTTGGAGATTCTTCCTCGAGCAAGTTTTTGCTTTTTTTTGTAAGGAGTTGGGGTATCCATCTGCCACTTTTCCTTCTCATTTTTTAATCACGTCTGAGAATTGTATGAGCGACTGCCTCAGAGATACCAACGCCTTTAGCTATAATATAGATGTAAATCTTGCATCAGTAGCAATTAAATCTTTACGTTTTCAACCATTTTTGGCGTAGTTGCAGTTGTCGGACGGCGTGCATGAGATGCATCTTTCACTGAATCAACATCACTTTTAGATGTCTTACACGACCGTGTGGCAGATGAAAATAAATGTTCATTGTTCCCATAAACACGACATATTTCAATAAATATGTCATTTGCCTGTAAATCAAGATGACAGGAGTTATTGTTAACCGTATTTGGTCAGTGAATGGAGACATTTTGCCAACCATTTTAGCTTTAGTTTAAACGAGTAGATAGCGTTAATCGAGCTATTGTCAAAATTAGACTGAACTGATTAACACATGTAGTGTATGAATAGAGCGCTTACACAACCATCTATGCGAATCGTGTACATAGTTTGTTCAAAACGTGGTTAAAAGCGAGATATTGGTCTTGTTGCATTCATATTTGAACATCCCTCGTATGAGCCATCATAACTTATCTAATAAACACAAACCTGCAATGAGTGTAATTTATACATGTAAACTTCTTCAACGTCACTAACAGCTACGCCAACCTATCATTTAGAATCATAGATGGTCAAGTACTTTTTAATTGTATAGCATAGTTCTAATAATGTAATAAACATTTGTTAAAGCATTTGGACATAACTATTTGTTTTTACCAAACATAATAAATAAGACTTAAAATACGGGTACATGATAGTAGTAAATTTTCATGTATGATTCACATGTCAACCTTATTATTAATTACATGAAAACAAATGCTTATATTCAATAGGAAAATATCAAAATGCAAAATCTATGCATAGTTTTACATCCATAAACTAAATTAAACGTATTTAAACGGTCCATAAATGAATGCCTATTATAAGAATAAAAAGTATTTTTATGAATATAAAAAAGAGCATTGTATTATCAATATACATGATTGATTCAATAAAAACATTGTTTAATAAAGGCATTACTTGGAATTCAATCATAAGGAGAAGACAGCCATGGACTTTTGCAGTTCTCGGTCCAACTCCATACTGAATCATTGTGTCAATTGTCTACATGTGCATATTCTGAACTAGAATACATTTTCAGTCTCACCTTCCTAGCATGTTTATAATGCTTGGACTTTTCTTTCTTTAGCTTTTCTTTTCACCTTTTATTAAGAATCCAACGTGCATTTAATTCCTGCCTTTAACACTTGTAAGAGTAAGAGGGGTTGGCAGTATCCAGAGATAGATAGATAGATAGGTAAATTTAAGTAAACAAATCCAATATTTACCATTACATTCATTATTATGATAGACATCATAATCAAAAAGATGCTGGAAATCAAATGGCTGGTAAAAACTTTATCAACCATGTGAAAATCACTGTCGTCCTCATATCCAAAACCATCAGCCATCATTGCCGATGTTGACAGCAACGCTGCCAGAAATTGTTAAATTCATCCTGTAACAATAAATCAACACCACAACATTTGCCGAGTCCTGGAGTATCTCTGTTTAAAATATATGTAAATGTAAATTTCAAAGAGGCAGATTCTAAAAAGCAATGGATATCAAAACAAGTATTTTCAAATTCAATTTTATGAAAGTAGATCAAAGTTAGAGTCTCGATTAAGTCTACTCATGAGGGAAAAAGGGGGGATATCTTTCACGCTTAAGCTTAAACAGTAGTCCATCCTTGACATTGTTATCAATAATTTGATGGACAAGAAAAATATCGCCATCAGTTGTGTAAATAAATTTTATTATATTTTCTGCATTTTTTTGTTATATTTAAAGTAACCTGACGAATTGTCTAGAAAATTTGAAATTCATTCACATACTCGTATGTATATAAATATGAAATTGAACAAAAAAAGAAAACCAACCTCCTTTTTGCGGGCACACAGGAACGCTAAAGTAAAAGCTAATAGTAATATAACAACGATTGGAAAAATGTTACGTAAAAACGTCTTTGTAATCCTTTTTAGCATAGAAACATACATCCCAAGCCTGTGAAATTTCTCTACATAATCTAACAGGTGGACCCATGCCAGGAAAATAGCCAGTGTGCCTAAAATCCATTGCCATGTCTAAAATATAAATAAATAGTTATGTTGTAGATTCAGATTTAGTATTTAATTTCCTAAAAATAAATCCAGTTAATCGTAAACAGAGAAAAAGAAAAAAGTGATGAGCGTGTTTTAATACGGACACACGCGGGTACACACGCACACAATCACCCACAAATATGTGCATTTTTTTCAATGATGAAAACATAAAAACCGATGTGAATGTAACGGTTATATTAATTTAAGCCACCAAAAGTGATAAACTTTTTCACCTGTGTAAAGTAAGGTCATCTTACACAACGGTGTAACCTTGTTGTCTGACCAGTCTTTATAATGTTCGTATCTCAATTTTGATATTTGAAATCCCTTACATTTTGATTGATCTCATTCAAATTTAAAGCAGGAAAAATCCATTTGAGTCATTTAGCGGGCAAAAGGTTAAATGATCACCTCTCTAAAGGGGGTATTCTCGCACTCCGATAAGTCGATCAGGAAAAGCAATGCAGTTGTATAAGCTGTCCACTTAATATAGTTGTTGAACTGTTTAACATACACCAACAACCCGAATGTCATCATAATATGATAAATCTGTGGAATGAAAAATTCATTTGTTGATGGTTTTATCAATTCTAGATTCATAACTTTGAAAGGGGCAACGTTTTTCTAATTGGTTACTTAATAAATTTCTCATATTAAAATAGCCTATATATCTGCGGATGTTTCTAAATTCAAAATTTTACTATTTCATGTTCAAATGTTGAATTCTGCTTAAGCCGGTGCTAGGGGGCGTGGACGGTAACTTGCACTTTCCAGTACCGTCCATGAACAGGCTCAATCAAACCGAGCCTGCAACATTTTCAATTTTGCCGTGTTGGGCTTTCTTTAGGGATTCTATATTTATCTATTATATTAAATCAAATGACTTTTACAGGTATTAAATGATCGTGTTGACATCAATACAGTATTGGTGATCATAATGTTTTCATGATTAATAACACATACGTAATAATGGTTAGAATGATTTGAAAATGATGAAAAGTAAAGAATTACTAAATGCTTTATCGAGCAAAACAATATCAGTTTTCAAGGTTAATCATTCTGTACCTTTCATCTCAAAATGGTAAAATAAAGAATAACATATGACAGGAAACGTTTGCTTTCAGACTTCTTATTTACGTAGTATAATGTCAGTGGTGACTTTCGTTTTCGTGGTCATTGTCTTTGTTTTGCAGTTGTCAGTCGTCAAAATTGCAGTCAGCGTAAATAAAGTTGTTACAGGAATAGGGGCCGTCGTGATCATATTTGTATTCCTAGAAGTCCTATAGTGGTAGTCGTCGTTGAAGCTATACTTTAAGTCGTAGAAATAGACTTTACAATGTATGCCATCCTGTAATACGTAACCCTATTTAATTTTCGTAGTAATCTTGGTCGTAGTGACAAAAGTCTTAGAAATCGTGGTCGTAGAAGTACAACATTTCGTCGTTAAAATTGTAGTCGAAGTAATGCCTATAGTTGTAGTCGTGGTTGTTGTAGTCGTTGTCATATTCGTCAACACAGACGTACTCTTCAAAGTCATAGTCGTAGCTTTGTTGTTGTCCTATCTGGACTAAAATGGTGAGAATAACCATCTAGGTTAATAAACAAACTTGGTTATCTCATAAAACGGAACTGTGTACTCTAATATGCATCCTCTTAGAGTATTAAACAAATTGTAAGCTGTATTCAACGAACACAGGTAACACATTAGCTATATAAATCGTACATGTATGCGGCGCAACATAGGTTACCAAATGTGGTTAAAAGGTTAGCTTACGAGTATGAGTAACTTAATTGTTTAAATACCTCTTTTAATATCAAGATTATTGCCAGGAATATGACAACTATTTGCAAAACAGTAATCATTGGATAGTTTCCGTATGTTTCACATGTGACATGATTATGAGTGGTTGATGATGTTGTCTCATTATATGAACTCGTATTATAACAAGAGGTCGTGCTGTTGCACTCCGTTGAGTTAATGCATATATATGTTGTTGTGCATACAGTAGACAGTATACAACCTGTTTTGTTTGAAGTTGAGGATATAGTGTCTGAATCCCTGAAGAAAAAAATACTTTAGATAAAGATAATACTAAATTTTATGATAGACATGTGAAATATATTTTACATGCAAAAATAAATAAATAAATAAATTAACAAATAAAAGCAAACGATGATTTCCATGAGTTATCTGATAATAAAACATCCCCAAAGGCCTACTTTTTATATGTTTGAAAGTGCATTCAATATTAAGCACTTACGATAATAACAATATTTGAATCAATAATCCTAAGTTCTTAAGTCGACTAGCTATAATTTGATATTTTTAACCAATCCTCTTTGACCTATTAAGCATATGGAAATAAAGAAAACAATGCTTTTCTATCAACTTACTGGAAGCGCACGTATAGCTTGTCGATATCATTTACGAACGCTGTCAGTGTTAATAGAAATATCAGGTATATAATCAAGCTCATGATGTGAAACTTTCTGCCTATATGTTGCCATTTATGTTTGATCAAAGCTTTAACAAGAGGGTGATCGACAAGTTGTCTGTAAACTTCCTTTTTACCGGGATCTTTAGAGGTTTTATCTCTTTTATGTTTCAGCTGAAATCAAGATATGAAACATGGTTAATCATAGCAAAGAACAAGGAGAGTTATAGCTAAAACTACATGTAACATTTAATTAAATAGAATTTACTGAGGACATCGATAAAGATCATTTAAGCGTGAAACAAATATTTCGAAATAGTAATTTTTTTAACTTGACTTATGTACTGCTGTCAGTGAAGTAGAGAATATGGATACCTTAAAGATCGTAAAGAAATGAAAATCTTGCAAATTTGGTTTCATTGACTCTGTTCATGAAAAAAGTGGTAAGCGGAAACTGCCTTCCGCCCTTTCAATCACCGGTTAAAGAAGGATTCGAAATCAAAACATATAATTTATTGAAGTTTTGAATTGTAAACATCCGCAGATGTGTTTAATCGGCGGGGATCATCCCAACTTTGAAGGTGGTTCGTTTGTGCCAACGACAAGAAGTATATGACTACAGTAAAAAAATGCGTATGTCTGAAACGAACTTAACTAAACAAAATGAAATTTGGAAATTTGATCATTGGTAATTATGTCTACAGACAACACATACGTTACAGTAGTGAATAACACCTCAGATACTTTTGTACATAGAAGTTTATGCAATTTAGTTCTAAACCAATGCGTATTTATAAGTAAAAGAGGGAAGAAAATGAGAAGTGAAAATGACAACAACAGTAAAAAATACTGGTTTTAATTGTCCACACGAATTGACGTACGTTTTAATATTTATTTTGTAAATTCAAAAAGTAAGGGAGGTTTACAATATTGCTAACAGTTATTTAGCAGTCACTGATGTTTCACACCAACCATACTCGAAACAAGTTTGACAAGTTATTCTTTGTGACCTATATTCACGTATTCAAGATCATGAAAAGAATGGTTAACATCAAGATCTACAATTTTCTTTTTCATTGAGTACCCTGCTTGTGTTGCTTGGTTGTGTAGGACGTGACATTTTTTGAACGTCGCCTTGCTTTGTTGATCTTCGTTCTCATTTTCTTTGACTACCATTATATTTACAAAATACATGTACGTACTTTCCCTAGCAAAATTACCAACTTTTATTTAATCTTAATAATATTTTTTAATCTAATTTTTAGCATGTTATAGAGATTTTTTCTTACCATTAACATAACAGGATGGTTGTTTCTTATTTCCGACGGATGTTCTGTGTAGGCATCACGCCTCTTCCTTTCTGTTGAAATATAAATTGTCTCTCTATTTCACTATATCACATTTAATTAAAATCTATAATATAAATAACTTCTGCAGTTTGTTACCATGACCGATTACACATCGGGATAAAATTTGGTATTGTGTTCTTTAATCATTAAACTGATATGATGTATTTTGCGAAATACAAGTGACATATATGGTGGCTGATTTGATCCATGTCTTATTTTAATTACGTAGGGCGTCAACCGAAACACGAAAAACGACAAAGTCAACATCGTGTCGCACTTTCGCAATACCAAAATTCAATAAAACGACACAGTCGCAACTTTGTCGTACATATACTCCGGAGGACGTAAGGCGAAAACATGTGTTTTTGCCTTGCGCCAAGCGGATCGAAAATACGACATGGCACAAATCAGCCAACATATAATAAGCAACAAGAAAGATACATTTTCGAATAAAGCACATTTGTAAACAGGTAATAAAATACTAACATTATGTCAGATGAAATCAATGCATCAATATTAAAGATACTGTTACGGGACATTTATGAACATTTATTGATAACACATTATTATGTTTTGATATTGTGTTTATATTTGTAAATACATCTAATATCTATTTTTCTAAAATTGAAGTTGTAAAACCTGAACACCATCAATTGCTAATTAATTTGATATCAACTTCTATTTTGTGCGTACCTTCAGCATCAACATATTCCCATTGGCATTGATATAACCATTTGCAGTAGTACTCCTGCTGAGGTGGCCATGTATGTAAAAGGTAAGTATCATCCAAGAGCTCAAAGTGGTAATTAACTTTTCCTGTAGTTTTTACTATGCATCTATCCAATAAGTCAGAGACAAATTCTAAAAAAAAACGTTTTGATTAAATATTATCATAACGATTGTTTAAGCTTCTTAGTTCTTTATTGAAATCAAAAATCCAGACCAGTTTCAAATAAAACACATTATTATATAACTAATAAATCTAACCAATCGACAATCTGCATTTGGACCTCGTGACCGTCCAATATATTACTGTATTGGATCCAAAAATATATATTATTTAATTTATTTTCATATTGGACGTTTTGGTACATGTGCACTTAGCGACCGTGCATATACCGGTATTTTGACGTCACGTCATTTGCGTTATTTAAACATAACGTTAAGACGCAATTAATGTTAGCGTTAAGCTGTTGTCAATGTAATAATTGTGATAAGGGGTGTCAATGTGATATTTTTCGGATTTACTGTTATATAATTATGATGTTTATTAAACATATATTAATGATAAATTTAAGTTGTTACAATGCATAATTTGTTTAGTCATTTTCTTGAACTCACAGTAAATGATAATCAATAAATACTGTAACGTCTAAAAAGTATTCGTTGCCGTTGTATCAGCCAAATCCTATAACTTATGTATGTATACAATAAAATCATTCAGGAATTATTTCCTTTTCTTCTAAAATAATTTTGACAGTGGTAACAGGGCTATTATCGATGATGGTGGTAATGGTTGTGATTTTGGTGGTTATATTGGTGGTGTTGTTGATAGTGGTAGTGGTTTTATTGCTGATAATGGTGGTGGTGTGGATGATGATATTTATGGTGGTTTTGTTGGGGGTGATGATGGTGATATTTCAAATTAAACGAAAGATATATAATAAATAATATATCAGCTTTTCGTTGATTCTTTTTGTTTGCCTTTTGTCAGATTTCTTATGAATTTTTAGCATTTGAATAAACACAATTTAATTGCGATCCGACTTATATGACGAGCAACAGAGAAGAGAAAAATACATGTACCTGGATAAAGCTCTAAAAGCCGTCTAAAAGGTGAAGTAATTGAATTGTTGTCATTGCTTTCAAAAGGACTTCCAACTTCAGATGTTGAGTTATGTAGAGGACGTTGTGTGTTTCTAAGAAGCTTTAAGAGGTAAAACATCTCTGTTTCTTTGATCAGGTACTGAACAATTTCCCTGAAATTATGAAATTAAAAGATCTTTGTTATAAGCTTGGTGCATCAACTAACCGGGGTGGTTTTGAAAATTTTCTGCGAAGGGAACTTAATTCTTTGTAAATGTAAACTCCTGCAAAGGCCACGGTTGCGGTTACTTAAATATATCATGGAAGGCTGGTTTTGATGCTTCTAGTTCAGTCGTCAATGGAATCCAAAGTTTAAATACATGAAATTTTGTACGGAATTTGTCTTGTTAAATAAATCACTAATATTTTTCCGAGCAAAGAGAGATGACCCTGGGTGGAACAAAAACAAAATTTGACTGAAAATATTAAATTTGCTTTAAAATTATGAGTTAAAACTATGTGATTAATCAATAACACCTCAATGCAATTTATGAATTACATAAAAAAAATCACACAAACAAACAAGAACTATTTTAAAAGACTATTCTTACAGTATTGTTTTCCTCGTTTTAAATGCAGAACACTTCTGGACAGCGATATTTATCAGGTTATTAAATTGTGTTTGTTCCTTAAAGGTTTTACTGGAAACATCCAATGTGAAAACTAACTTTGACTTAAGATATTAACAATACTGTCCTTGTTTAGCAATTATTGCCTCACAGAGGGTCGGACAATATTGGATGTACTGTATGAAATACAGATGTGCCAGCAGAAAATAAAACACGTATATCACAGTTGTAAGATAAGTTCTATATTACTTACTAAGAAAGAAAAACAACAAAGTTTTCCAAAATAAGAGAAACTAGAGAGTTTACAAATGCTGCAAGTATTATGTTGTGTATAAAAACTTATTAAAAATCAGTATTCAAATACCTTTTACCAAAATAAGAGAAATTAGAGAGTTTACAAATGCTGCAAGTATTATGCTGTGTATAAAAACTTTTTAAAAATCAGTATTCAAATACACTTTGCACCTTATAGACCACAGACATTCGTTTGGGTTGACTTGTAATATAAGGTTAAGTATGTTATCCCCATCATTATTTGTAGATGTTGCTGCGTCGAGCCACGTGTGTTCAAACGTTCTTGTATGACATCTGCATTTTTGAATGTTGGACCTTTTTCTGGTTTTACTTATTCTAATGGTCTCAAGGTTCTAAAAGAAGACAGTGCCAAAGAAATGATTTACATCTAGACTATACAATTGTTAAGAATTACAAAAAAATGTAATGGACAACAATACATATTTCATATTTAAAAGATAAAAGCCATCTTTTATATCGTGTATCTTGTGTCAGTACAAAAAAAGTATTCTATCGTACCTTTCCTTGGGGAAATAATAATTTGAAAATTTTTGCCGCATTTTCTTCAGGACATGTTTTCAAATAAGCATAATGTAAAGCAGTATTCCCATCTACATCTCTGAAAATAAAAAATACATTAATTCAGAACTATAATTATTTAAGATTTCATGTATACATTTTGACAGTCAGGATATTGAACAAATAATTGTATAAAATTTAAATATATAGTTTAAGAGTAAAATTCATCTTGAAACCAAATATTGAGATTTTGTGTAGTTTTTCTCTTCCAAAGAAGCGTATCTCGATCTAACTATTCCAGTCTATTTCAGTCATTCTTTACAATTCTGTAAATATTTACGTCTTTCCCAACTTTATTACTATACAGATGAATTAGATTCGAATGAAATAAATAGATAAACAAAATGACTATTTGAATGAATTAACAAATGCTATGATAAAAGGGAAAACACTATATGAAGAAATGATAACTGATTCTTGTATTCTAGCGTGATGTTATAAGATTGATTAATAAACTAAGAATCCTGTAAGCTAAAATATAATTAGTCAACTTATATGAAGTAAGTCACATTGAGAATAAGGTTTCGACAACAAAAGTAAAATTGTGAAAAACGAAATCCCTTAAAAGCGGAAATGAATAATTTGCAGCATCTGTTCATGGACGGTACTAATAAATGCATGTTACCGTCCACGACTACTAGCACCGTTTTAATCAGAATTCAACATTCAAACATAATAATGGTATAATTTTGTATTTAGAAAATCCGCAAATAAGCTCATACGACGGTTATCATGAAAATTTAGTGCAATTCCATATAAAGCGTTATAAATATGTTCCTAAAATAAAAGAATGCATGTGCCCTAAAATGTTCATGGCAAGAATAAAACTTACTTGAATTCAATACTAGCACCAGCTGACATTAAAAGCTTGACAGTTTCAACCTCATCCTTCCTTACTGCTTCATGTAAAGCCGTTCTTCCATTTTCTCTTCGAAATATAAAAAAATCATAATACATCAGTAATTTACCAATTAACAATTCTTTTCTTATGTGAATTTGGTAGATAAGTCCTTATCAACAATGGTACAGTCAAGACAGTTAAATATGTCTCTTTTTTACTAAGTCCATTCAGGAAATTAGCAACAGAAAAAATCATGTTTTAAAGTTTGTGTTTTGAAGAAAGAAGAATAATAATGCTATATAAGAATAAATCTATGGACTATTTTATGTTTTAAATTACTTTCTATTATTTTTTGGCATGTACTCACATATAGTTTACATCTGATTTTCCAGAGTAAATAATTTTCCTCAAATTATCAAGGTTTGTTTCACCTTCAGAACAGACACACTCGTATATTTTGCTGGCATCACCTTTTCTGTTCAATCAAATAATGGAATGATATGCAATACATTGTAATATCAGAACATATCAACGTTTTTATTTACCTTTATTTATGTGAAACTTCAAGGTTTTGTAGGCTTTACTTCAGCATATTATCATAATATTAATTTTATTCGTAATGTTAAACATAAACAGAGTATCCATACACATCTACTCTAATATAGGAATTTTGTTAGAAATGTAAGAGAAAAACAATTATGTAAGATTTCAATATATAGCTAATTAAACTTTCAATTGCATTAATCAAACCTGCAGCTGTGATGAGTATGTAAACATATGAAAAAAATGATTTGAACAGCACAAATACCTTGCCCTTGCTGCCTTAGGAAGTATGACACTTTGGTTCATTTCCTGAAATATTTATTATTACTTTCTTTAATTATTATATTCAAAATAATGACATTGTCAATGGCAAATTGATCGTAAAGAACGTTTTACCTCATTTAGGTAGACAAAATCAGAAGAATAAATACATAAATAAATGTAAGATCATGTTATTGCAGAAATTAAGCAGTGCGAGTCACAGTGCAGGTCACAGTGAATTAACAACAACAAAAACAACAACAACGACAACAACAATAACAACAACAACAACAAAACAAACAACAAAACAAACACCATATTGTTTGATATTATAATTATTTTTTCAAAGTTAAATTAAATTTTAATTAGAAATGTGTCCATAGGAAACGAGTGTCCCCACACTCCACTGTTTTGTCAATCTACAGATACTAGGTCAAATATTCTTTGGACTCCAAGCGACACAAGTTGCTAACTTTTTGAGTAAGTCAAGGGCAAAGCTCTTCAAATACTGATTACATAAACAAGCATTCCCCTGGTGTATAACAAAACATGCTGACCAACATTCTTGTACATTTTTAGGACTACCTGTCAAATACTTTTTTAGCTATGCACGAAGAAGTTGAAAATTTGCAAATTTCTATTATGTCAAGGTCAATAACTCTAACAAAACTGGCAAAAATCGACGTGCACATCTTTACATGTTGATCAACATTTCTGCAAAGTTGGTGGATTCTCGCTCAAGCACTAAAGGTACATATAACACAACTTTTTAGAACGTTTTTTTTGCTAACTCAAAGGCAATTATCCTACAAAGTATAAATAAATCCACAAGCAAACACCAAGGTTCACAACTTTACATGCTGATCAACATTCCGACTAAAGGTCCAAAAAATGTTGAGCTACGCACGTTAGAAATTAAAAATGTTCAGTAAGTCAAGGGAAATAACACTTCAAATACTGAATCAATCCACAGCCGAAACCCCAGGTTTATAATTTTATCCACATACTGATCAACATTCTTGTACAGTTTCATGACTCTAGGTCAAATACCCTTTGCGCTTTGTACGACACAAATTGAAAATTGCCAATTTTTACTAAGTCAAGGGCAATAACTCCAGTAAATCACAGGTACACAACTTCACTTGTTGGCCAACACTTCTGTAAATTTTGTTGACTCTAGCTCAAACAATTTTAGAGATACATGTTACATAACATGAGAACGCACGGACGGACAATGTAAAATATAAATGCTACCCCCTATAGTGGGGGGGGGGGGGGTACAAAACGTAAATATAGCTTATAATTTGATATTCAGTTTTTAAAACTGTGAACATATACATTACCTTCAGTTCTGTTCCTTCATTTTCAGTTAGCAGTTTTGCTGTAGCCATCTGGAATAGTATTTCCAAATATAACAATACGTTCGCCACATAGCCGAGTACATTTTTCAAAATTCTATAAATTCTATATTTTGGTATAATATATATAAAGCAATAGATTTCATGTTTTATTTGAAAAACATGAAATCTAATGCTTTATATATATCAAACCAAAACATTAATGACTAAAAATAACTGTTTAAATGGGCCGGCATATTGTTGTCATTGAGTTATAGTGATAATAGTGGTTTAAATAGTAAACCGTGTTATAACAAGACCAACCCCCATCCCCCTCACCCCAAAATATTCGTTCAAGTTCGATAGCAGCAGACATTCACTACCTGCTGTTTAAGATGACGATTAGCTCAAAGAGGATAACAACATCTATTTCTTTTTAAAATTTTATTTAAAAGTCATTCGACATGCGAAACAATTTTTATAACACTTTTCCATGGACCGAAATCAACTGATACCATCTTTATACCAGGATTTCTCTCACAAATTTTGAGGTCAATATTCTTTGTTTCGTTTATGAAGTTTTATCTTATTTTTACTTGTAATGAATGGAGGACGTATTGTTATGACATTGCGTTTTTACTACTATATGCCGCAATTCATTTACAACTGTAAAATGCTATTACCTTACTAAATAGGATTATCGGTAATGCCTAAATGTGCACATTTTTTAAAAATGGAAGTTTGAATAACTTGAAGAACACTGTTGCCAATGAGGATGGAAAAGACGAAACAACTGAAAATGCATGTAGAGGAAAACGACTGCACCGCACATTAATTGGGTTTACATGAGGGCTTTTTGCTAACAATTAATATCTTATAGTACTGTATTCAAGTTTATTGAAAAATGTTAAGTAATAAAATTCGTAACTGTTTAAGATTTTCTCCCTAACAATAATGAAAAGTAGATACCAAAAGTCGTTTGATAAATAAGAAACAGACTGTTTAGAAATAACTGTTTATTGATGGAAGACAGGTACTCGCCATATACTCTCGTTTTTATCAATTCTAACAAACAGCAGTATAACGTTAACTAGACAAAATAAGATATGTTTAAACTAAAATATTGACGATAAAAAGACAAACATTAAATTATTTTAATCAAAAGAGAAATGGTTAAGATAATAATAGTTAGTGATAAGAATAAGACTTAGGCACCCCTTAACCCTTTCCCCCATGAGCATATTGTGAAAAATGGCAGTTTTCACTGAAAAGCCTCCTGTAACAAGTTCAAACTGCTATGAAACTATGAAAAATGCTTCAATACTAATCACACTTGGCACAAATGTTGACTGGACCATTGCCTTTGTAACGACATGCTCAGTCTTAAATTTCCTGTTACCATGGCAACGAGGGGACATCTCAAAATTGCCAAAAATCACTATTTAGCCTCGATTTTTTCCATCAACATTTATTTCAAAGTGCTGCAACTTCTCAAAGGATTGAGATAGAGTCAAAGGCTTTTCAGCGTTGGTTACACGCTACCTTATAATCGACCTGAGGTCATTTTCAGCCTCTCACAAGTCCAAAATTTTCTTGGCGATGAGGGGGACTCCGCCCCCCTTCTAACCCCCAAACAGAAGGGGGTACATCCCCCTTCTGGAAACCTCTTGATGTATCTTATGGATGGGGGACGGCGCCGAAAAAATGCTCATTTTTTAGCAACATTTCTCAAACGAAAACATGTGTTGGGGCCCAAATAGTACATTTTTTTCACTATTTCAGGCCTTAAAAAAAGGGGGGGGGGGGGTCGAAAGGGCGTGGTTTTGCGTATATATTAGGTAAAGGGTTAAAACACCCCCGCAAAAATACAGCAACGACATCAACAACAAAAAGACAAGCAAACATAAGCAACAACAACCAAGTCAAAACAACAAAATATCACAATTTATAAAAAAAAGTATGCAAATGGTACGAATTTTGAGATGGTGAATATTGAAAATAAAGGATTTCCAAAAATAGATTTGTTTTCATTATTTTTTTTATTTTTTTTTGATATTATTAATATCATTTTTGTGAATTATCATTATAGAAAGAAAAAAAATTGTTTGCATAATGACCCGGATCTACAGATTTTGTGTAATCACGTCTGCTAGTATAGACCGAAGTAACTAGTAAATGTTCAATGCTGTTACAAAGCTCGGCCGACAGTTTGAGTTCGATTTTTTTCTGCATCTAACATAATACATGTAATTAATATAATAAACGAACGGAAAATAATTTCATAAAACATTTTGAGTTTTAGTAGCGTATGTGCAAAAACCACATGGGAAAACTATTTTTATCAAGCACCGAGTTAAAAGTAACGTCCCATAGTGTGTCTATTTGACTTTTGAGAAGACTGAACATGAAACCGGACTATTTTGGAAACATTTCTGCCTAACAAAAAAGTTAAATATTTACATGTACTTTAATAAAGCAGATAATTTCATGCTTTAAAACACTTTTATTTTATAGCATAATGCAATATGGTTTGACATGACTATTTCAGTGAAAAGAAGTTATTAAGAAGATGTTTTCGGATATTTTCATATGGGCGCATTAAAACAGTTCAGCAGAGTTTCAGCAACCTTGGCGACATGTAGTTTACGTCGGTTTGAGTCATTGTGCACAGTTTTAAAACGAAAAAGAAAAGGATTTATTCACAATTTTTTTCTAAACCTGTGTCACTTTTTCTTTAAAAAAAAGCCTATTTTTAATTTCAAGTCCCATTATGTATGTATAAGTTATCTGACCTTGAAATGACCGCATGTTATAGGTAAATGATTCTGATTCAATGGCATATCACTCAAAAGTGTGATCAGTGACTCCCAATTTTTGTTTCGCTTAAAATATTTCTGTTATTTTATTATATCAACATGCCAAGTTTAAGGAAATTCTATTGCACAATTTTAATTCTGCCTATACTCGTATGTCTATATGAAACTTCTCGAAAATGTCCTTAACAGTCAATATAATTATATGTTGTATTTCTTGTCAATTTGTTCACTCAAACGAATAATTCTTTCACCGTAATGTTACCACTTTATCTAAATAGACTGAACTTTATTTAGATGTATTATTAATATGAGCCTTTAGTTCAGAGTTTTCTTTTGTGCAAAGTTATTTGAGATACAGATAATAATTACATGAGTGTATAATCAAAATATAACTAAAATAATTTGATCAAACACTTTTTTTCAGTAGCGCATGTTCAAGAACTTCATTAGAATAGTATTTTAATTTATAAAGCGCTGAGCCAGAAGTTACGTCCCAAAGTGTGCCTGTATGACATTGGATTGACGAAACCTAAGATTTGGGTATATCTGAAAACAGGTCTTCCTTCCAACAAAGCAAAATATGAATTTTCCTAAAGCAAATAATATTAAAATCTAAAGCAGTTATATTTTTATAGCATAATACATTATGGTTTAAAGTGAAAAGTAAAACATTTACAGCATACAATATAATTTGTCTAATGTACGTACTTTTTGTTGACAAGACGAATAATAATTTCACCGTAGATGTCATGTTTACTAAAAAGATTAAACTATATTTCATAAATGCATTTATATGAGTTCAGTGTGGTATTATTTTGAGATACACATTTCTGAGTTCGTAAGTTGTTTTATTTAGAAATAGACTCCTACAAACGTTTTCTGTTCTATTCGCACTTATGGTTCTCTAAATAAAACTGTAGCCACATCCGTCAAAACAATTGTTCAAATTAAGATTATTTTTCTTTCAATTATGGACCGATAGAAAAGCCAAGTTGTCGTGTATTATAAGCAAAACAAGCCGTTAATTCAAATTTTTGAGGTGGCGACTTCTTGTATGAGCAATACAGTATTTTTGTCGAAATCAACTATGTTAAGAATGAAAGGACTGTGCTTATCTGCAATAATGTTGTCGGTAGCTAACATCGCAACTACGATCAATTTTGTATTAGGCATTTTCATTTCCTTTTGATATTCCGTTAGAGCTTCAATTGCCTGATTCCCCTCTGTTGTTATGTTGTCTGCATATACTAAAAAAACCATCAAGTGCCTTTTTCTTGTCCAGAGCCCTGCAAACTGGAATAGATGCATTAGTTTCACCGCCCTTTGATTCACTTATTTTCTGCTTGACTTCCTCCAGTGACTCGTTCTTATTAATGATTACTTTTTTCAGACCATCAGAAAATCCAACAACTTTGCAGTATTTTTCAGTGCGAATGGTCAGTATCATCATCGCCGCTGCGGCCTGTTTACAGTTAATTACAGGACATCCATTGCATGGTTTACCCATATTTCCACTACAGGAAATCGCTATCAAGAATCGTTTTTCACTCGACCGAACGGTAATGAATGATCGATAAAAGGCTGCATTTAGCGATTTTTCGCCATTTTTGTACGACAATAAAGCAATAAGAATTCTGATTGGATGAACTCTTTCTCGTTACTAAGTATTGCTATGATTTCTTTTTCACATTCCGACCCCTCGTTACAAAGGCCTTAAGAAGACATCAAACTGATATTGCGTACCTTCGTTTCGGCTTTCATGTTTGACATTATCGCTTTACAAACCATTGGACACTTTATCATCTGTGCAAGAATATACTCTCGTTCAAGATTATATTTGTTAATAAGTGCTGCGAGCAAATCCTCATAAGTGCATCGTTTGGCTTTCTCTGTACCTTCTATGTAAGTCAGAAATTTTTGCAATACTTTCACTATTCATTTCTGTACTTGATGCAAGGTTTTGTGCTTCTTCAAAGCCATTGAAAAGGTATTGTTTAACTACTGTCATGAAATCATCTTCGAACTTTGGATGTGCTTTCTTCAATATTTTAGTATGCGACCAGGTTTCTCCTCTCCTATCAGTTGTATGCATTCGACGGGACTTGTATTTTGTCAAAAGGCGAGCTAAACTGACTGGATGTTTAGCTTTTTCTTCGTACCACTTGATCATAGCTCTACGATGCGCTCTTCCCCAACCTTTTGATCCTGACAGCAAACTTTCCTGTTGGCAATAATTGACAAACAAAAAGAAATGTGTCGGGATACGGCATATCGCGCATAGTTCTTCATATGCTTCTTTCTTTGTTTCTTTATCGTTGGATCTTGCACATATGGCAAGTGCAAATATCAAATAATTTTGACGCAATGTTCTTCCACGTTGACTTATATCAGATAAATGTTGCACTACCTCTACCCCTTTTCCAGCACTTATAAGTCTGAAATTATAAGCGAATGAATTATAAGTAAGCGCATTTATATCCCATTCGGAACTGCCTCGGCTATTATCTATAATAACCTCGGAAACAATATGGATTGAAAGTAGTTCTAAATATGTTTAAATGATGTTCAATTTTAAACAAATCCGACTAAATGTGAACAGGTTGGTTTTTTGTATTTTCGGTTTCTACAGCAATTATAATAAATATATAAATAATGTTTTGTTTGCTTTTGTACCTATGAATTCACTTATTTTAGGTGGACTTTTACTGCATATATTGGAAATAAACTCCCAGCATTAAATTACTTTTTTTTACATGTTTAACTTCTTAGTGTAGGTTAGACCGAAATACTGCATCCGTTCTGTGTATTCATACTATTGTGTCCGAAGAAGGACAGAAAGGGCCGAGTAGTTGCGATTGATTTATATCCTTTCAATTTAAATGAATAAAATGTTTTGGAACTTTAAATTTGTAATTTTGTTAACAACTAATGGTGGCAAGGGTTACATTATCTGAACATTTTTCCCGTTTTATGTACATTCCTTATTTGAAAGAAACACAATTATGTTAGTTTTCGTTTCGGAAACTGATATGGGCCGTCCTATGAGAAAACCAGCATAGTGCAGAAAATGACGTCACTTAAAAACTTTTTTTGAATATGACTTCAAAGTGTGCACTCTTTTTATCAATTTACCGCGCACATAATTCCTACTGTCATGGCGCGTCGTCTCGCTCACTATATTTATGGCCCGTTGTGATATATTTTCGACGCAGGACAGAAATTCCCGAAAAACCGTGTATTAATTAAAAGTTTTTATCAAATCATTATATTACATTATGTTTAAATTATACGTAGCCCTACTTAAATTTACGAACTGAAACGTTTTGCCCGTCCGCTCTCGTCTAAGCAGCAAATTGTGGCTTATAAAGAATCTATCATGCGTTCGTTTATTTGCGATAACCTTATTCATTTTTGACGTTACGCTCTTCTTATGATATCATGAGGTCAATGGCTATATACATGTAGATTTTGAAAAAATGATTAAAAACCTTTTATATAATACAATGATGTAAATATTACACCTTAGTAAGTGGGAATGATTGTATTTCTGTAAAACTGTGAATTTGTTTGCACTATGTCGGTTTTATTATTCATTATTCATTTCCATCACAAATATTATAGTATAAGAGCTACACGGTATTGTTCTTTATTTCTATGCTGACTGCATCAAAGCAATGAATGGTTAAGCAAATGCAGACCCAAAAACAGTTTACAAGATACTGCAGGACGACCATAGGGGTAAGGAAATACAACACATGACGGGGGTTAAGAATTTTAACAGATTATAAAAGGTTACACCGTTTTGTGCTTCTAAAGAGTTTTGTTAGTGGCATTGAGTACAAGTTGATAGATAAATCGAGTACTTAAACTTGTGAAATACACGACTCGGAGTTGAAGATTCAGTACTTAATAATGAACAATATCAAAGGAAAAGTTGATATTCTTGATTTGTGTGGAATCATATATAAAAACATAGGTATATATGAAAGAAAATATATTTTATGCCTTTACACCGGGATAAACACACCTGCTTACGCACACATGAAACACATACTAGGTGCTTTGTTTATTTTGCGCCTTTCGATGCTATCATTGTGTTGTATAATTTTTGTGATTTCTATCATTTTTGTACATCATTTTACAAAATTAAAACCTCAGTTTGAACTTATTTTGTTAAAGTATGTGTATTTTTTTCTTAGCTGACACAAAAATAATAAACGCGATAGAGCAATGAGCAAAACCCTTGGAAAATGTTGTACAGCTTGATGCAAGTGTAAAAGTCATTTAACCTATCATATTTGGCAAATTTTATTACGTTACGATTACCAACCGCTTCGGGTAGAGTTAACAAAGCAACAAATATAAATTCCTTTTGTTTGGTGCTGCAGAGGAGCACATAGTGCCTCAGATGTGGGCCATATCAATACCATGTAAGTAAGAATACTGCAAGTGTTTCAATTGGCAATAACTGTACTTCATTATGTTATGCGCATATTATATTTTGTTCCAGGAACCACTGACTTTGGGAGGTATTTCCCTGCTTGATTTTGCTAAAATATGCTCAATATTTTATCTTTGGTATTGATACTTTAGTACCAACAGTCGTTAGTCTAGTGCACTTTTATCAAATTTATTAGGTATAATGACTGGGATATAACAAATGCTATATTTTTTATCAAGATGCACACTGTTTTCAGCGGAACAGTTCATAATCTTTTGCTCTTTACTCTCTCAAATACTGAAATATATTTTATTACATTAGAAAATATATTAACATGAACTACCGTTTTCATTTTTTTAAGCTTGAATAAAATTCTAAATACTAACCTGTCTATACACTCAGCATTTTTACGATGCGGATGTTTGTCATGCGGATTGTATGACGATTCCGTCCCTAGATATATAAACCGCTCTAAACGCCCCCAGTCATTCAACTTGTGCGTACTTTCGTCATATCTTTTTCTTATCTGAAATAAATGAAAAAAAAAATGAATTATCCATGTTGATATATGTCAATGCGAGTCAAAGATATGCTATTATAAATTAAACAGAATGGTCGGAAGTGCACAACCAACTTTTTAATCTGAATTTATGATGTTTGTGTGTGTATGATCTGCATACATTAATACCTGAAATGAGACAAGTTATTGTAAAATAAATGTCTGTCATTGTCAGACGGACTAATGATTGATTTCTATACTAGCACATTGAATATTCTTATGTCCGAGCTTGAGGCGTGAGTAATTAATATGTTATTGTTTGTACTGTCTTATAATACATGTAATAGACTCAATCAAACCGACTTCATGGCTTTTATTGTTAATTTGTTTTTAAGCACTTTAAAGATTTTCAAAGCTTGAGAATTCTTAAATTCTAGCGTTTAGTATAAAACATGCCATTTTTGTCATTCATTTCCTCTGTGTCATGATGCGACAAAATCGGAAAAATGTATTTCTATAAAAATTGGGAAGCATTAGAAAATGTAAGCTGATAAATCTATGCAAATGTCATAAATCATTCTAAACAAAAAACAACAAATATTATTGCCAATTGTTTCTTCTTTGATTGTGGCAAGTGATAATAAGTGAAAGCTGCCACGCTACCGAGCACCGGATCAAGAAAGCAACATTCAATGTTAAAACAGGCAATGTGTTCATACGGGTCCCGAAATCAAAAAATCTTATCAAACCTATTTGTTATCAACTATCACTTCTATATTATTATTATCATAATGCAGTAAGCGTGAAGAGACGTGGGAGAACTTGACAAACTATTACCTCATATATTAATCTGCATTATTCTATAATGTTGCGTTTTTAGAAAATTGATTATTGTACATGTACCTTATTATTACTCAAAGGGACATTATGCTCATATTTTCATAGTCAAGTTGAGTTGAATTGACTTCTTATTTCCAAAGATTGATTGTTAAAATGGTGTTTGACCGACAGTTTATTTTGGAAAATGTTTAGGATAAAATTTAAAATCTGTCTAAAATATAAAAAGACTGCCCCACTCTTTTTATAAACGAAACATTTCAGGTAAGTTCTAATTGATATTTACAGAACTTCCATTTCAATCCGGGGTTATCTGTTGTTTATGTGAAGTAAATTATTAAATTAAATGGACTTATGGCTATATAAAAACTTATTTCGACTTTCACCTGTTAACTCCCTGTATACCCTTGAATGAGCATAATGTCACTTCAAGAAGAATTGTAAGTGCAAATTCATTAGATCCATAAGGAAATGTTTAAAGTGTATAAAGCTATATATCTACTGCAAAATATATGTTTTTGAAAAGAATACTTCCGAAGAAAAAATGGTTCTTAATCGCCTTAAAAGCGAATGGCACATGCACAAAATCATTGCTAAACGGATAAAACTCTACTGAAAATAGCAAAAAAATATTTTGTTCCGGAACGTTTTATTCTGTTTACACACATTATTCATGTGCGTTTAATAACAGAGGCATTCTATGTTACAACTTTTTCTGGAATCAACCATATAATAATGGAACCAATTTGATTTTACTGTTGATAAATTTTTTAAAAAATATTCATAATATATAGATTTCTACCCTTTAAAAATGTTATAAAATGGTAAATTACTGTAATATTTATAAAGATGAACTATGATACCTCACATCCTAGTGTATTTTACGCATTTTAAAATACATCGTAATTTAAAGCGTTTAGGTAAAGGTAGTAAAATATAAATAGTATACGCCTTCCTATTATAACTACTCCGCTCGTGTATGATATATTGTTAACCTTTAGAATCTGATATTTGTTATGATTGCATTGCAAACATGAAAAAGCTAGTAAACCGAAAATTTATTTTCTTCACTAGGTGCAGTTTTATATATAGTGCATTTCATCGTCTTCAACGCTAACTGAGCGTTTATGAAACTTATTCTCTAGTACAGTCCAATTAATTGGGATGTAAGCATTATATATTACTGGTATCATACGCCTATGACTGTTACATATAAATCCCTGGTGTATGACGTCATAGCTTCTTCTCTAATTAAATAAAGCTCTATGAGATGATGCAGGAATACACATCATAACCACATTAATTGCTGGTAAGCCCAGATAACATTACAAAATGTTCTCCATTTTATTATCCTCTAATAATTCTACACCAGGTATCCATATGCAAACTTCAGCTAGAAATCATCAAAAACATATTTTCTGAACAATTTCACGGATATTACGACCAAAACAGTATCCTGTAAAGGGTTATAGGTTTTTTTTTTCAAATTTGGGCTGTCAGACCTTGTTTTCGAGCCCAGGTAACCCGTATTCAAACTTGATCTAGAAATCATCAAAACAATATTGTTGACCAATTTCCAGGGTATTTGGGTAGAACAAATAGAAACTGTTTCACAAAAGTTTTCTATTTTTGACTCCTGTGACCTAGTTTTTCCGTACATTCTAGAAGACGATTGTTCTAACACGTCTAAGCAATCACTTGGACAAACATCTAAATTTTGTGAGAACTGGGGCAAAAATGTGACCATTAGAGAGTTTACGAACTAAATGTTAACGATAGATGGCCGACAGACGAAGAATACCACAAATTCAACGATCCTTTAAGCTCATTTTCAGCTAACTTAGGTGAGCTTAAAATCTGTTTATTTTACTTGTTTGCGGTATGAACGCAAACTTTATTTAATCTTATTAAAAAGAGATAATTAAACCATATTTCAATTTGAATTCATTCGTTATGAAATATAACCGTTTTTATTACTTCCTTGACCTCTTATTGATATCACACCACGTGAATACCGATACATCGAACCGTTGAGTACTTTAAATTAAAGATAACACAATTAAAGATAACACGAAAGTGTTGTTTACCAGGCTGAAAAAGTTTAACGCGCTACTATCTTGTCAGGCGGGGTTTTTCGCTTATATTGCTAGATTTTATCACTATATATACCCAATAGCATTTTAATCATAAAGCGTTATAGCCATACTTTTACATTTATTATTTTCAAAGTCGTCGATAATCTTGCATATTGCAATGCAAAAGTTAAATTCAATCCTAGGTTAAGGTCAGTATCAGGTGGAACACACCGTTCTGGAAATAGCTATATGATACCATATTAAATAAGCAAACCTGTATTTTACCCACAACCTCACAGACAAGAACCGATTGAACCGGGTGATGCTCCCCGAGAAAGTTTTGGACACAGGAAAGTATAAAAAATGAACAAAGGGCAAAAACTCCGAAATAAGGCAAGGCAGAGTTATGATTTTTTGCACTGCACGTCTATTCAATGAGATCTATCTCTCTATACAGTTTCGTGATGATATCTCTTATAGTTGCAGAGTTGTGACTCGGATAAAATTCAAAGTGTAAACATGAACAAAGGGCAATAACTCCAAAACTAGACAAGGCTGTGTTTATGTTCTTTAGCATTGCAGGTCTATCCAATGAGAACTATCTACTATCTACCTACAAAGTTTCATGTTGATATCTCTAATAGTTTGATAGTTATGTCCCGGAAAATAGTCAATATGAAAAAATGAACAAAGGGCAATAACTTCAAAATAAGGCAAGACAGAGTTATAGTTCATATAGTTTTAGAGTTATGTCCCGGATGATATCTCTTATAGTTGCAGAGTTATGTCCCGGACAAAGTTCAAAGTGTAAAAATAAACAAAGGGCAATAATTCAAAAATAAGATCAGGCAGAGTTACGGTTCTTGTCCACTGGACACCTACTAAATGAGATCTATCGACCTACAAAGTTTCACGTTGATACCTTTTGTTGTTTCAAAGTTATGTCCCGGACAAGAAAAGCGGACGGACGGACAAAGCGAAGACTATATGCTCACCCTTCGGGGAGCATAATGAAATATTGCAGTGGATACATGTATATAAATCTTACCGGTTTATTTTTTGATTCAGATGGTCGCCATTCCGGTTTGGATTCGTGATTGCCAATGTCGAAGTACCTCTTTGGTTTAATGTCCAAATAACGTATCTGTTCGAATTATATTCTAATTAAATTATCGCTTTAACTTTTTTAAGATAATTTAGTAATAATGGGTATCTAATTAATGTCTAAGTACCGTGACATGGATATTTTTCTTCTTTTTTCTCCCTAGTATTATGTTATTGTTTTGAAATTGTATGTTCATTTTTACTAAATTATTTTTCTGTGCGAAACACGAGAAACGGAACGATAAATGAAATTACAACAGTTTGAAATCAATATAGTATTTCAAGGCTAGTCATACCGGGTATTCTTTTTTTACCTTTATCAACGAACGTTAAGTGCCTGTGCACTTTTTAAAAATGCACTATTTTCAGCATGGCGTGTTTTTCACAGTCGAAACTATTATAAAACAAAGATATATTCATTGTTTTTTGTCACTACCCAGTCTAAAATTGATTTTTTGTCTCGCTCTGTTAACTATACGAGCCTATTATGCACTAAATACAAATGCCAATATCTTTATTTCTCTCAGGTCAAGACATTGACAACATGAGGTAAATAAATATTAACTGCGAGCTTTTTGTAACCATACCTAACTGGTTTGGATTGTATGGTGGCTGATTTACGCCATGTCGTATTTTCGCTTCTTGGCCTCAAAATGGGAAAATGCGAAAGCACGAAGAGACAACAAAGTTGGACTTTGTCGTCTCTTCGTGTTTTCGCATTTTCGAAGCAACAAAGCGAAAATACGACAGAAGGAGGGCAAAAATACGACACATAAAATCTGTCGCATTACATCTGTCGTATTTTCGCTTTTTTGCGTTCAAGATGCAAATTTGCGAAAACACAAAGAGACCACAAAGTATAACTTTGTCGTCTCTTCGCATTTCCGCTTTTTCGCATAGTTACATTTTCGCATTGTTGCATTTTCGATTTTTCGCATTGTTACATTTTTGCATTGTTGCATTTTCGCTTTTTCGCATTGTAACATTTTCGCATTGTTACATTTTTCGCATTGTTACATTTTCGCATTTTCGCGTTCCCATTGTACATGCGCATGGAGGCATCAATTCATTATTATCATTGTTATTATTATTATAATTATCAAGTTTTGTAATGTCTGGTCACAATGATATATTATTTAATAGTCATATATAAGATATGTTGTATTCACGTAGATGTATAATTAAAAAGTATCATCCTGCTCCTTACACATGTAAAATAATTATATAATATAACGAAAAGGCTTTCAGACTGTTTTGAATTAGACGGGTTTAATTTTTTTAAACTTTCTTTTAGAGTCTAACAGCATTTTTAATACAAGCAGGTAGTAAACTCTTTTTACATAATTCAGGTACGCTAAATCCATTTTTTGCTCTACTACAAATAAAAATGGCCGCTCTTGAGCCTTTGTAATTACCTCATAATTTCTTTTTCCGGTTTTTAGCGAAATGCATTTCCGTTCAACCACACGCAATAAAGCTTCAGAGTCTTCTATGAATGATTGGCTGATAATTAAACATGATTTACTTATTGACTACAATTGTGGCCATCTTTGATTTCAAGATGGATACCCTTTTCTAAACAAATATAAGTGAAGTGCTTTTAAAGATCCTGTATGTTGTAATTGAGGTTGTTACCATTTGTGTGTATTTGAGTTTATTTATACTCGCCACCGGTTGCCCATATGGGCGAGTCCTCCAGAAGAGTATTAGTCATTTTAAATTTTTGGAGGATAGTGCAAGATACAAATACAGAAAGATGCCCCAGTTCCAGAAGCTTCTCCGTTCTTTAACGTGCCAAGTGTTAAAGCACTCATACACGGGACCTCGATTTAAAGTCTCATCCGAAAGACTGATTAGTAATTTTAGTTGGCCAGCCCGGGAATCGAACCCACAATGTCGAGATTACAAGTCTCGCGCTCTAACCGATTGAGCTATGCGGGTTGTTACCACACTTAAGTGAAATTTTATATATGTATATAATTATGCTTATAAAACAATTTTCAAACATCGAATTATATGTAAAATATGTACTGCAATATTTGTGCACATTATATGTAATCATTAAAATATATGCATTCATTTCTTATTGAAAAGTTTGACTAAGACTTTATAGAAAATAAATTTCTAATTACCTCCCTTTATTAACATGAAATGTTAAATTCGGTAATATCTTCATAAATAATGCTTTTTGGAACTTACAATATTGATAAATCTTATTTCGAGCATCATGATTGTGATATAAAACCATCAAAATTTGTGTTACAGGATCTTTAAACAAAAGGTTCTTTATCAAAAAAATGATAATGATGATATAAGTATTATGTCATGTAGAATTGTACACAATGTGTAGGTATACTGAATTTCATCATTCTCTCAAACTATTTCAGGTCATTCTTTATGGGCAATTGATCTATGTCAGGTATCTGAGATGCCAAATGTCTAACAAAATCCGAACTATCGAATTTACCATTAGATATTTTAGTCTTTGGTGTTGATAGAATTGCGTATGTGTAAACCATTATGGACACAATCATTTTATAATTTTAATGTCAAAAGTCAAGTTCAGAATGCATTTTTTTAATTGCCTTTCGTCTTCAAGTCCAGAGAATATGTCTGTGTGTGCATGTAATTGCAACAACACTGACCAACAACGTTAAAAATAGAAACAATCAAAGCACTGAAAGTACTGAAGTATACATTGCTTGATAATATAATCCATATTTGTCATCAAGGCCATGTTGATTTTAACCTATTTACCTCGAAAACAATAGGGGTCATCTTGTGACCAAGGTCAATGTCCCTAACAAATGACTCACATGCACAATCCAAAGTTATTTATGAGACAAGGAAGATGTGATGTTCCATCTGTGTATTGCTAGGCAAGTTGATAGATGAGCAATAAAGAAATCATTTTTTGAAACATCCGTTAAATAGACTGCAGTATAGAATATTGAAACAGTCATATTGAGTTTCCAGTGATGCTATCTAATAAAATACATGATTTGGCTTGAACTCTATACAAAGTCAATTAATTGAATCATCCTATAAGACTTAATTACCAAATTATAGTACATCCTTTTGTATAGCTTTCCATGTTACAGATCTATGAACTGTACTTTGATGCATTAATACATATATTCTGGCGTGTTGTATTCATCTCTACACATTGATTTTCAAATGCATTACTTTATCGTTTATTAATAAAAATGAAATCTATAATCAAAATAATTCAAATGTACTGTAATATTTTCATTATTCAATAATTGTTACATATAGTCTTCATATACAACCTTTCCAAGAAATTTATTTATATTGGACAGCAAGTTAACAAGGGTTTTTCCATAATCAGGCTGTGTTACCAACTTCTTAACTTTAGATGAACCATTGAGCTAAAACATTTTTTCTAATTTTTGGCTACTGTGACCTACTTCTGATTTTCAACCAAGGTGATCCATGTTCATTCTCGAGCAAAACCTGTCACACATTCTTACGATGTTGTGTGACGATTGGGAAAAGTGTGACCAGTAGAGTGTTAACAAACTTAATGACCAGCAGATTGTTAACAACTGTAATGTCATCGTCGGATACACATGGTTGATTAACATTTAACATGACATAACTGATAAATGGAAATGGTTCGACCGTGGGTATCCGACAATGCTAAACGTGGACAGATCACAGTTGACATAAGATGGATGATCGACATTCAACAATCTAAAACCTTAACCTGAGCCAACCTATAAGTTTCACCACTGAAATAAATAATAAAATACTGTGTAATGATTTAGATGATGTGTAGCCATTATATCAGAAGTAAATTATTGCTTTTCTATGTTCTTTACTCTATTGTAACTACGCAAGTTCATATAGCATATAAATATAAAACGACTGCTAGATTAGTTTTTACTATAAACACATAAAAAGTAAAAGTTGATTATTCAAACGATTGAAAAGTCTACTTTTATTGGTATTTTTATTCATGTACCTTTCTTATCGCGGGTTCAATGTGGTTTTTGGCTTTCCCATGTTTTTAACGCTGACTGTTACATAGCCGAAAAAACACAAGTTTTTCATACTGTACTTATTACAAAAAATAACTGACATTTTACAAAGGTAATAAAATTTATGTATAGTTATAGTTATTCAATTAAAAGGTTGAAAAATGTATTTAGCAGCATTTTGTTTTAGATATATCTATTTTATCGCAAGTAAAATGTGTTTCTTTTTTTTGTTTTTTGTTCTTTTGTTTTTGTTTTTTTATGGCTTTTCTATGTTTTTAACGCAAGGCATTAACATAGCCGAAAAACACTTTCATACAATGTTTATTACAAAAATATTACTGATATTTTACATTGCTTACAAATATTATGTTATAATCATTCATTTAGACGGTTCAAAAATTTATTCAATAGTTCTTATTTTAAAAATGTCCATTTCATCGCTAGTAAAATGTGTTGTTTTTTTTTTGCTTTTCCATGTTTTTGACGCTAGACCGTTACGTAGCCAAAAAATACTTTCATACTGTATTTATAAAAAATAATATCACTTACATTTTCCATTGGTAACACAAGAAAGTAATAGTAATTCATTTAAAAGGTTGAAAAAAATAGCGGCTCTTGTTTTAACTACGACTATTTTATCGTCCGTAAAAATGTGTTTTTCGGCTTTTCCATGTTTTTGACGCCAAACTGTTATTTTGCCGAAAAACACTTTCATATCGCATTAAATACAGAATAAAATCATTCTCTAACTTACACTGGTTTCAAAAATAAAGTAAATTTGAATCATTTAAAGGATAAAAAAGATTTGTTGGAATTATACAAATTGTATCGCCGTAAAAAGTGTTTTTCGGCTTATCCATATTTTTCAAGCTTACCCGTTGAGTTTCCAAAAACATTTTTAGAGTGTGTTCTTTTCGATATACGCTGACAATTGATAAAATTATTGATCGGAATTGTGAAAAACAATTTCTCCAGTGATTAAAATTTAAAATGGAAATTAGCATATTTTTTTCCCCTGTGACATGTGTTTTTCGGCTTT